GCTGGTCAAGCACTTTGGTCTACCAGATATCGATCTAATGGTCACAAGAAGAAATGTGAAGTTTAAAAAAATTTGCTTCCATTCAGAGGGAAGATCATCCTTACATCCTGGGCAGGTTTTCAATGCTGTTCAAAAGAAGTTCAGCATGGCGTATCTTTTTTCTCCAGTAGCTTTGATCCCTTGCACAAGATCAGACAGGGCAAGGATCTTGGTGATTTTACCTTTTTGGCCAAACAGGAGCTGGTTCTTGGAGGTCGATCGGATAGCAATAGACCATTATGAACTCTCTTGTTTGAGCGACTTTCTGGAAAACAAAGATCTTCCAGTGGAGACCATAAAGATGTTCCGATTGTTGGCATGGTTGCTGCAAGGATGATCCTTAAAGCCCAGGGCGTGTCTGACCGTATTAGTGATATTCTCCTGTCCTCCACTCGCAGATCCACGGACAAGATTTGCCTCAGTATCTGGCAGAAGTTCCTGCATTGGTGTTCTCAGAAGGGTTGTCTTTTTTTAATCCATCTGTTCCGTACATCCTTTCATTTTTGCAAGACGGGTTTGCTGCTAGTCTTAGTATGTCTACTTTTAAGGTGCAGATGTCAGCCCTCTGCCATTTTCCTGCTTCAAGATTTGACATCCAACAGGCTCATTCGTAGGTTTTTTAAAGATGTTTTTCTGAAACATCCTCCAATGCTTTCTTCTTTTCCATCATGGGATTTGTCTGTTGTTCTCAAGGCCTTTGAAGATTTTATCAATGAAAACAGCGTTTTTGGTGGCAGTTACCTCCGCTACAAGGGTTGGAGAATTGCAAGCTCTATCATCCTCCTTTGAGTTTATAGTTTTTCACCAAGATAAAGTGGTTTTACATCCGAAGCCGTCTTTTCTGCCGAAAGTTATCTCCAGATGTAACCTTTAATGAACCTATCTTTCTGCCAAGCTCAATCTTCTGACTCAGAAAAGTAATGGCACTGCCTGGATGTTAATAGGGTGTTAGAAGCTTATATCCTCCGCGCTGCTCCTCAAAAAAAAAAATCAGATCATCTGTTCACGAATTTACAAGGTGCTTTAATAGGTAAAGAGGCTTCTAGACCAACTATCGCAAGATCGCTGATTGAATCTATCAAACTGGCTTATAAGGTCAGTAACCTCTCAATTCCGTTCCCCATCAAGGCTCACTCTGCTAGAGCAATGGCAACCTCATGGGCTGAGCGGTCTTCGGCGTCCACAGAAAAGATCTGCAGAGCAGCCACTTGGTCTTCCCTGCCTTTTTTAGGGAGGGAGGAGGGAATGATTTTAATTACTTTA